AACCCGCAGGCTCAGGCAATCCACTCACCTCAGCCTCCCAAAGGCGCGGGATGACAGGCTGAGCCCCCGAGCCCGGCTTTGGAATGCTTTTCACCCAGATGGGGGCATGACCCTCCTGCCGGCTTCAGGGGACCTTGTCTGGCTGAACACCCAGCCCTCTTGTCCCCTGAGGTTTCCTAGCCTCTATCACCACTTCACAAAGTCCATATTCCTTTGTTTGCCTATTGTCTGTCTTCCCACTGGACTGTCAGCTCTGTTGTGGTCATGCCTAGAACAGGACCTTGCCCACAGAAGGTGCATAATGGATGTATGTTGAACAAAGGGAGGGATAAAATAAAGACATTGTTGAGCCCCTGGATCCAGCTATACCTGATGCAAGTAATTTTTGTCTTTTTGTTTAGTTTTAATTATTTTTTGGTTTTTTTAGAGATGGGGTCTTGCTACATTGCCCAGGCTGGCTTCAAACTCCTAGCCTCAAGTGATCCTCCCACCTCGGCCTCCCAAAGTGCTGGGATTACAGGCATGAGCCACAGCCAGCCTGAAGCCAGTTTTGTAAACTGGTTATAGACCAGTCTTCCTCTAGCTCACACCTCCACCTCCGAGACCAGGTCGTGGCTGGTGGATTTCTTGCTGACGTCTCTTTCATCTTCCTCCTGGGATTCCTTCAGGGCCCAGCGACACGCAGCTGGCAGTGACTGGCGCAGCTGAGTCCGCCCGAAATACAGAAAGAGCATGGGATTGAGGCAGCTGTGGGCGAGGGCAAGGCCCACGACCAAGGGTTCGGCCCTCAGGGCTTGGGCCAGGAGCACAGAGTTCGGGGTGGCCACGGCCAGCACCAGCCTCAGCAGGTGGTAGGGGGTCCAGCAGACAAAAAACCCCACCACGACGGCCGTGCCCAGGGGCCAGCAGCGTCGGGCTGCTCGGCACAGGAGGGTGCCGTGGCAGCCGGCCACGACCACCAGTGGCCCCAGAAAGCCAAAGAGGAACCTGATGGCGGTCACCGCGAGCTCAGTGCTGGCTGAGCCGCCGTAGTCCACCACACACTCCAGCCGGGGCGGGAAGTGCTCCTGGTGCAGCCGGCGATGGACGGCGGAGGGCACGGTGAGTGACAGGGCCAGCGTCCAGGCCAGCCCACAGGCCACCTGCACGCCGCGAGCCCGGCGCGTCACAGCCCACCAGGTGGGCCCGAGGGCCACCAGGCAGAGGTCAGCGCTGAGAGCGGCCAGGAGGAGCACGCTGGCGTACATAGACAGCAGGATAACCGAGGGAAGCAAGCGACAGCCTATGGCCCCGAACGGCCAGTGGCCCTCCCGGGCAATGGGCACCGCCAGGACGGGGAGGGACAGACAGCAGAGCAAATCCGCCGCAGCCAGGTGGAGCAGCCAGGTGGCAGCGACCCTCCGGCGGGCCTCCTTCCCGGCCACCCAGGCCACCGTGGCATTGCCCGGCAGCCCCACCAGGACGATGGCCGTGTACAGCAGGAGTGGGGCCACGCGGAGCGCGTCCACGGAGAGGCAGGAGCCGTCCAGGCAGTCCACGGGGAGGCCCGAAATGTCGCCGTAGTCCGGGTACTCATAACTGACGGTCGCGTTCTCCATCCTGGCCTCAGTCACCTGGACAGCAGAGAAACACAAGGGGAGCTCAGAGGAGGGAACTCAAAAGGCCCTAGGAGCCCCGGGGCATCAGGGGACCAGACCATCAGCAACTTGTAAGCTGAATCTTGCAATGTTAGAACCCCGGAGCTTTGGAATATTGGGATTCCGGGGCTGGGCACAGGGGTGCGCTTGTAGTTCCAGCACCCCGGGAGACTCAGGTGGGAGGATCGCTTGGGGCTAGGATTTGAGAACAGCCTGGGCAACATAGTGAGACCTCACCTATACAAAAAAAAATTAAAGAATTAACTGTGCGTGGTGGCATGTGCCTGTAATCCCAGCTACTTGGGATGCTGAGGCAGGAGGATCGCCTGAGCCCAATAGGTCAAGACCGCAGTGAGCTGTGATCACGCCACTGCACTCCAGTCTGGGCAACAGAGCAAGGCTGTCTCTGAAAGAAGATGGCCAGACTCAGTGGCTCAGCCTGTCATCCCAGCAATTTGGGAGGCCGAGGCGAGTGGATTGCCTGAGCCCGAGGGTTCGAGACCAGCCTGGGCAACTTGGCGAGACCTCGTCTCTATAATAAATAAAAAATTAGCCAGCGTGGTAGCGTGTGCCTGTAGTTCCTGTTCCTTGGAAGGCTGAGGCAGAAGGATTGCCGGAGCCCAGCAGGTCGATGCTGAGGTGGCTGGGAGTGTGCCACTGCACTCCAGCCTGGGCGATGGAGTTAGACTCCAGCTTAAAAAAAAAAAGAATACTGGGATTGTAGAATACTAACTTGTTAGAAGTAGCTCATTTACATCTTGGAATTCTAGAACACTGCAATATAATCTTAGAACTCCAGCATTCCAGAATATTAGGATCAGAATACTAAAAGGTTAGAACACTCGCTCATTTGCACCCCGGACTTCTAGACTATTGCAACTTTAGAACCCCGGCACATGAGAATATTGGAATTCTAATTTTTTTTTTTTTTTGAGTTGGAGTCTCACTCTGTCGCCCAGACTGGAGTGCAGTGGCCCCTCCTGGCCATCGCAGCCTCGCCTGCTGGGCTCCAGCGATGCTTCCGCCTAAGCCTTCCGACTACCTGGAATTACAGGCATGCGCTACCACGCCCGGCTGATTTTTTGATTTATTGTAGAGATGAGGTCTCGCTGCCCAGGTGGATCTCGAACCCGCGGGCTCAAGCAATCCACTCACCTCAGCCTCCCAAAGGCGCGGGATTACAGGCTGAGCCACCGAGCCCGGCTGAATTCTAATTTATAAAAAAAAAGTTTCCTGAGCTCAGGAGATCCTTCCGCCTCATCCTCCTGAGTAAAGAAAAAAAAAGTTTTGCACAAATGAGGTCTTGCTATGTTGCCCAGGCTGGTCTCGAACTCCTGACGTCAAGTGATCCTCCTGTCTTGGCCTCCTAAACTGCCAGGATTACAAGCGTGAACCACCATTCCTGGTGTCACTCCTGAGCATTTGAAATATGGCAACTGAGAAACCAAATTTTTTTATTTTTCTCAATGTTACTTGACTGAAATAGCTACTCATGGCCATGGTGGCTACCTTATTGCGCAGTGATGTTGTAACACATTGAAATGTTAGAACATCAGCCCATTAGCCACCTGGAATTCTAGAATTATTATTTATTATTTATTATTTTTTTGAGTTGGAGTCTCACTCGGTCGCCCAGACTGGAGTGCAGTGGCCGCTCCCAGCCACCGCAGCCTCGACCTGCTGCTGGGCTCCGGCGATCCTTCCGCCTCAGCCTTCCGAGTAGCCGGAACTACAGACGCGCACTACCACGCCTGGCTGATTTTTTGATTTATTGTAGAGATGAGGTCTCGCTGCCCAGGCGGGTCTCAAACCCGTGGGCCCAGGCAATCCACTCACCTTAGCCTCCCAAAGGTGCGGGTTTACAGGCTGAGCCACTGAGCCCGGCTAGAATTATTTTTTTAGCGACAAGGTCTCACTCTGTTGCCCAGGCTGAAGTGCAGTGGCGCAATCATAGCTCACACCGCAGCCTCAGATCCCTGATCTCAAGCCATCCTCCTGCCTCAGCCTCCTGAGTACCTGGGACTTGCTATGCTTGGCTAATTTTTTTTTTTTTTTAAGAGCTGGGGTCTTGCTCTGTGGCCCAGGCTGGTTTTGTACTCGTGGTCTCGAACAATCCTCCTGCCTTGGCCTCTCAAAGGGCTGGGATTTAAGCAAGCCACTGCACTGGACTGAATTTTAGAACTTCAAATACTGCAATCTGACTGGGTGTGGTGGCTCATGCCTGTCATTCCAGCACTTTGGGAGGCCAAAGTAGGAGAATTGCTTGAGCCCAGGAGTTCCAGAGTAGCCTGGGCAACATAGCAAGACCTCTTTGTCTGTATAAAATCAAATAATTAGCAGAAGGTAGTGGCACACACATGTAGTCCCAGCTACTTGGGAGGCTGAGGCAGAAGGATCGCATGAGCCCAGGAGGTCAAGGCTGTGGTGAGCCATGATCGTGCCACTGCACTCCAGCCTAGGCGACAGAGTGAGACCCCCAACTCAAAAAAAAAAAAAAAAAAAAAAAAGAAAAGATTCCCCACAAGCCCTCCCCACGACCTTGCATGCTGCGACCCCTGACTCTGATGTCACCTACCACCCTCTCCCCCTCGCCTATGCCACTCCACCTACACTGGCCTCCCTGCTATTTTTTGAACAAGACAGTCATGGTCCCACTTCAGGGCCTTTGCACAGGCGTTCTCTGCCTGCACTCTTCCCCAGATCTCGTCTCCCTCCTTCAATTCCTTTGGGCTTTTATGCAAATGTCACCTTCTCCAGGAAGCCGGCTCTGACTGATTACTCTTGTAAAATCCTGCCATCACCAGTTTCCCTGTGAGACTTTTTTCCCCACCGCATTTATCACCTTCTAAATACTGTGGAATTTGCACATTTCTTTTTCTTTTTCTTCTTTTTTTTTTTTTTGAGTTGGAGTCTCACTCTGTCGCCCAGACTGGAGTGCAGTGGCCGCTCCCGGCCACCGCAGCCTCGACCCGCTGGGCTCCGGCGATCCTTCCGCCTCAGCCTTTTGAGTAGCCGGAATTACAGACACGCGCTACCATGCCCAGCTGATTTTTTTTTTTTTTAATTTATTGGAGAGATGAGGTCTCGCCAAGTTGCCCAGGCGGGTCTCGAACCCGTGGGCTCCGGCAATCCACTCACCTCAGCCTCCCAAAGCGCGGGATTACAGGCTGAGCCACCAAGCCCGACTCACATTTATTTTCCAACTGTCTGACTCCTCCCACCGAGTGTCAGTTCCAAGGGGAAGGAGGTTTTGTCTGTCTTGTCTCCTGCTGTGTCTTGAAATAGTACCAGGAACAGAAAAGGGGCCCAGAAGCCACACAGGACAAGTCAATGAGTAAATGAGTGAATTGCAGAAAATTCAACCGTTTATTTTCCTGCTCTCTTTTGTTGTTGCTGTTTTGCTTGTTTGTTTTGAGTTGGAGTCTCACTCTGTCGCCCAGACAGGAGTACAGTGGCACGCTCACGGTCACCGCAGCCTGGACCTGCTTGTCTCAGGCGATCCTTCTGCCTCAACCTTCCAAGGAACTGGAACTACAGGTACGCACCACCATGCCCAGCTAATTTTTTTATTTATTGTAGAGATGAAGTCTCACCTAGTTGCTGAGGTTGATCTCAAACCTGTGGGGTTAGGCAATCCTCTCACCTTGGCCTCCCAGGCCTTTCCTGCTTTCTTAAAATGACCTTTTTTGTTTGTTTGTTTTGAGGTGAAGTCTCACTCTTTCACCTGGGCTGGAGTGCAGTGGCACCCTCACAGCTATCACCATCTCGACCTCCTGGGTTCAGGCAATCCTTCCTCCTCAGCCTTCTGAGCAGCGGAATTACAGGTGCACACCACCACACTGGTTAATTTTTTTATGTTTGTAGAGACAAGATATCGCTATGTTGCCCAGGCTGGCCTCGAACTCCTGGGCTCAAGCAATCCTTCCGCGTTGGCCTCCCAAAGCACTGGGATTACAAGCATGAGCCACCGGTCCCAGCAGGACTTTATCTTTTATTCCAAATGAGACGGCAGCTGTGGAGGGTGCTGAGCAGAAAAGGTATATAATACAACATAGCAATCATAATATCTTCCCGATCATTATTATTATTATTAGGGGTCATCATTACACACCTGCTCTTAGCCAAAAGGCCGAGAAGCGATCGGAGCTATTTAGTGACGACTCCTGTGTTCTGAGCGAGGCATTGGCTAAGCAAATTTAAACACTGTATCCCTGCCTGTAATTCCAGCTACTCGGAAGGCTGAGGCGGAAGGATCGCCGGAGCCCAGCAGGTCGAGGCTGCGGTGGCCGGGAGCGGCCACTGCACTCCAGTCTGGGGGACAGAGTGAGACTCCGACTCAAAAAAAAAATAAAAACACTGTATCGCTCATCCCCTATAACAGCTCTCTGAAGCTGACATTGCTGTCATACTCATTCTACAGGTGAGAGCACCAAGGCACAGAGAAGCCAAGCAACATACCTGAGGTCGCTCAGCTAAGCCAGTAACAGAGCTGAGTTGCAGATTGTGCCAGTCCCACCACGGGCCCTAGATTCTTCCCATGCCCAAATCTTTAGACTCTGGAGAGCCGGAAGGCCGGACGCCTGAGCACTGTGACCGTGAGTGGCTTTTCTAGTTGGCTCTCTTGGTGTCCTGACTGGAGAAATGGGCTTCAGCCAGGTGACCACCCTCTCTAGTCCAAGAGGCCTTGAGGAGTGGATATGGGTGAAGCGAGAAGCAGAGAGCACGGACTCAGGTGGAGGAAGCTTCTGGCAGGACAGGATCCGCCAGTCCCCGCCCACCCACCGTGTCAGAGTGACCCGACCCTGTGGCTCTCTGCTGACTATTATGGGCTGGCCCGCAGTGCCCAGAGCTCCAGCTGATGTTGGCGCAACAGGAAGGACAGAGAGGAAGTTGGGACACTCCCTCTGAGCCCTCTACCCTGCCAGGTAGTAGTCAAGAGCCCCAACCGCCTTTCACATGCT